AAAATCCAGTTATAAAGTAAAAATGTTTGCAAAAAAAAAATTGTTCAAAAAATTAAAAATTATACATTTTTGAAAGGTCATTTAACAACTTCAAGAAAGGTTTGGTTCCCAAAGCTCTTCGTTTTTCGTTCATAGAATTGAAAATCGATTTTAAATCGTTCGAACGCACTTTAAAAATGATCTTTTTTTACTAAACGAGTTTTTGGAACACAAAAACAATAGGTTTTTAACTGAATGAACGATTTTTTCCAACAAACCTTTGAAAAAAAACTATCGTTTTTTTACTGCACCAATGATTTTTTTAATAAATGAACGAAATCAAGTTTTTCTGAACGATTGAAAAAAAAACACGAGCAAGTTGGGACGTTCACAAAGATGAAAAAAGAAAATGAAACAAAAAGTCTCTACATTCTTATAACATACATACTTACATATTTAGCCTCACTACTTTTTACATATATTTAAGATTGCTTTTATTTTTAGGCGAATGGATTTGACTCCCACCGATATTGGTCAAGGTTTGAATAAAGAAGATTATAAGATAACTATATCTTATTAAAAATTATGTATAAGTTTTAATTTGCAATTATATAGATATAAGCCACTGGAAAGAGAAACGAAGATATCCTTGAGAAGTAAAGTAATAAAATCTAAATCTACAGGTTTGTATTAATATTTTTAATTTTTATCTTTTTTCAGTCCTTTCCCATCCTCGAAGTAGTTTCTCTGGAAATAATGGCCATTAAACCTACAAATTCGGTGTGCAATGTGCATGCTTCGCGGCCAAACCATCTTTAGAAAAGAATACAAACTAGTGAACAAATTGTTCGGCCGCGAAGCACACAGAATTTATGACTTAAAAATGATGTGAAAAAAATGTTTCTAATTTTTTTACTTATAATAGAATTTGTTTTTTGTCTCTACTTCAACTTGATACTGCGCAATTGTGATTATGAATCTTTTAATCTAACATTCTATTAATATTTCATACTTGGAATAATAATGAATAGATGTTATCATAATGTACAAAAGATAAATGGGATGAAAAGACATGAGTTTTATACAATACGAAGATTTGTTCGAGGAAGATTAATTTAAAATCTTTTTCAGCTTTTATGTTAAACGTGTTTCTTATAAAACACGTTTGATATAATATAATTAAACTTATACCCTGCAAAGCTGCAATGTCTCATTTAATTTAAATACACAGATTTTTAATTTTTATTTTTTCAATTTTCTTTTTAACTGTAACGAGGCTTAACTTTGAATGTGGAATAAAATTGTGTTAAAGGCACGTTAAATGGTTTTTTTTTTAATATGTTTATCCTAAATAGATTATCAAGTACAATAGATAACCGAAAAATGGACCTATTATACACGACGTCACAAGTGTCAAATAAACAAGGAAAACGAAATTTTCTGACATTAGTTGACATGTCTCCCGAGATTACATAAAAAAGTGTAAAAACAGAAAATAAAGAACACATAAAATTGCACTTATTTTACTGTAAGATAAGCACTTTTTTTCTAAAAAGTCACTATTATTTATACTTTTGTCGGACACAAACACTGAATTGACACTTGTGACGTCAGAATACAGCTGTACTGAGAGTATACAAATTCTACGTTGCCATCTATTATACAAGAATCTATTTGGTTTATCGTAGAGACTGTAGGTTTAATTCACAAGGATACCCATAAATATAAGGTCTGATCAAGTATGAATCATCAATGTTTATAATTTTAAAAATAGATATTTGCAAAGGATCTTGTACATTTATACTTTTTGTGTAATCAGAATACAATATCTTCCACAGTATTCCAGCTAGGGTAACATTGTGAATCTGGCAGTGCCATACTTGCATGGTAGACATTTTTGTTTTGGAAACAAGTTCTGTAATTTCATCTGACATCTTTTGTTCCAATGCTTAGAGAACAGCATCCTTTTTTAACGAGCTAACGATTTTTCGTTGGAAAAGGGTGTGATTTAGAAAAAAAAAAAAATGGATCTTTCACAAAAGATAAAAAATTTGTCGTTTTTTAAAAACTAAAGATTTAAAATCGTTCCAAGAAACTTGAAACGATAGTTTTTTTACTGAACAAACAAATTTTCCAAAAGATTTCACCCTATCCCTGCTGGGGTACTTGAAAACCAGGATATGCTGGGGGGGGGGGGTCAATTTGACCCCCCCCCTCTAAATCCCATGTTTGATGTCCAAATATGACAAATGATACATCATTGGAAAGCTCTTGTGCTCTACTTTTCGAAATTGCAAAAATTGAATTTTTTATCGCAAAATCCAGTTATAAAGTAAAAATGTTTGCAAAAAAAAATTGTTCAAAAAATGAAAAATTATACATTTTTGAAAAGCCCTTGACCATGCCATTTCAAATATGCAAAAAATTTTGCAAAATTTTAAAAAACCAGATTTTTAATCAAGAAAAACTAAAAATGTGCAAATTTCCTTTGACAGGTTGTTTGCAAAAAAAATTGCATTTTTTTTCGCAAAACTTGTGCAATCCGTTTCCTTATGTCATAGGCTTTCCAAAAAGCTAAATTTTATCAAAATCTGACAAGTATAAGTGGGTAAAAACAAAGATTTAGTTTGTTACAGGAAAAAGCAGTCATTCAGGCAGTGTGCCTGAGGACTCAGGCAGTTAGTATTAAAGCCCGGTTTTAGGCCTAAAGGGAGGGCTTTGGGTATGTATGAAAAGTCAGAAAATTTCAACAGCCTCAGACCAATACTTTTTGAGTTATGTAAAAAAAACTACAGGGGGGGGGGTCAAATTGACCCCCCCCCCAGCAGGAATAGGGTTAAAGACTTGGAAAAAACGATTGTTTTTTTTTCAACTAATAACTTTTTAAACAGATTTTTAAGAGCGTATTGTCGTTTTAATAAACACACAATTTTATAGAACAAACATTTCTACAGAATGAACAATTTTACTGAATAAACGATTTTACTAAATGATCGTCAGCAAAAACGAACAAAATAGAACAAAAATGAATGATAATTTTAAGAAAGAACGAAATATTTTTTTTGAATGATAGAATAAAAAAACGACAAAATGGGTCATTCGCGAACGATAAACAAAAAAATGAAAAAACTATTGTGCAAAATCTTTGTTCGTTTTCTTTCAAGTATTTTGGACATGTTAGATTAAAGGAACCACAAAATTGTGTTCCACAAAAAAGGTCTCACTGAAAGTAACATTCATGAAAAAAATAAAAAATTGTGAAATGAAAAAGAACAAACGAATGTGTTTTAAAAAAATGACAAATTTTTAATGTGTTTTGATGTTTTTATATTGTCTTCAGTTGCCATGCTATTTTTATATGAATTAATCAGCAACAACTTGTTAAAGGCCGATTGCAAATAACTAATTCCAAATTATCTTCCGTTACCGACACTAATAAATTGACATCTTTAACAAACGATACCTTTTCAAATGAACGAAAACTGCTGTTAACAAACAACACAATTGGTTCTTAAAATTTTGGCTTTTTTAACGAATGACTTAAAAATTCTAAACGTGCACCCAGTCCTACTGTTTAGCTTTGATATATTTATAAAAGACGACATTACTGTTTGTCTGTCTTACAATACAAAGCAGGTAGTTTCCATTTGAACTCCACACCTAACAGGTGTGGAGATGTTTTCCAAGATGAATTTATCAATATAAAAAGGTAATAGTTGTAAACCTTAAATAACCTTTAGATTGTATGCATAAGTGTATGCATATTTATCAAGTTATATATCTTAACTATTTTGTATATTTCAGTTATGTGCTTTAGACGAGTGTTTAGTGTAAATGAGAAGATTGAAAATAAACATCTATAAAGAAAACTTGCTCATTATATTCACAAGTCTACCCATCGACAAAACTTGTTGTCTGGGTCTTATTGAAAGGAAACCTGAAACTGATTCCTCTCAATACACCTACCTTTAACCAACCTTTTCTATTAGCCATTTTTTACCCATTACATTTATTATGTTGAATTTTTTTGTTGGGATATCCGTCCTAAAAGATAAAAGTGCATAAGATCTTCAAATAAAAAAATGTAAATCACTCTTTTCTGATAAGGCCCAGTATGAATAGAATGATAACAAAAAAGCCTTTGTTTATCTGACTTTAACGTCGTCTTTTATTTTGACGCCATAAAGTAATTTTAGAATGGTTCACGGAGAGCGCGCGCTTGACATCAGCTGAGCCAAGCTCAGTAAATGACAATACAAGAATCAGGTAGGAAATGTGTTTGTTGCTGCATACACAGATGGTTTTTTTTATAAAAATACTTTTTTTTAAATTTTTTAGGTCAGGAACTAATGGCGCAGCCTCTAAAACAGGAATGAACATTTTTATATAAAAATAGCTGAAGGGCCCGGTGTTGCCTGTAAAAATTTTGTTTAAACCATTTTTTTTAAATTTTGATATTTGAAGAAAAAAATCAAATTTGTTTAGCCTATGTCACCCATAGGGTTTCCAGTCGAAATTTTTTGCACGAAAATTGTTCAAAAATTGCGCAAAGATTTGCTTACGTTTTGAGTAAAAATTGCACGAAATTTCGATGTATTTGCGCATTGATGCGTAAAAACTATTACACCGTACCGACTTTTACACCGTTTACTGGCAATAACCTCAAGTAGTAACTGAGTTACTCAGGAATTAATAAATCATAATCACATTCACTTATCATTAACCCTATCTCTGCTGGGGTACTTTAAAACCAGGATATGCTGGGGGGGGTGGTCTCTAAATCCCATGTTTGATTTCCAAATATGACAAATGATACATCATTGGAAAGCTCTTGTGCTCTACTTTTAGAATCTGCAAACAAATTTGCAAATTTGCAAAAATTGAATTTTTTATTGCAAAATCCAGTTATATAGTAAAAATGTTTGCAAAAAAAAACTTGTCCAAAAAATGAATAATTATACATTTTTGAAAAGCCCTTGACCATGCCATTTCAAATATACAAAAAGTTTTGCAAAATTTTAAATAACCTAAATTTTAATCAAGAAAATCTAAAAATGTGCAAATTTCTTTTGACAGGTTGTTTGCAACAAATTTGCAATTTTCTTTCGCAAAACTTGTGCAATTCGTTTCCTTGTCAAAGGCTTTCCAAAAAGCTAAATTTTATCAAATCTGACAAGTGAAAGTGGGTCAAAACAAAGATTTAGTTTGTTACAGGAAAAAACAGTCATTCAGGCAGTTTGCCTGAGGACTCAGGCAGTTAGTATTAAAGCCCGGATTTAGGCCTAAAGGGAGGGCTTTGGGTATGTAAGAAAAGTCANAATAGGGTTAACTTGGAGACGAGCAGGGTTAGATGGAAGTTGCTTTTTACTGAAACTTATTCACGCCATACTGTCCAAATATTAAAATCTTGCAGATATATATATACTGCTGTACAAAAATTTCATTTTTTCGTATTCAGGGGCATTGCAAAATTTCATGCGAATAAATTTCGTATTCATGCGAAATTTCGTGCAAAAAAAATTATTTATTTCGAATGAATGCGCAGTTTCGTGCAAAACTGGTTTCGTATTGATAAAGATGAAATTGTTACTAAAACTGAAAGGGGCCACGGGTATAAACTGAAAACTGTTAAAAAGCTTTATATGGACCCAAGAGAGTAGATAGAAATAGGGTTTCCCGCCAGCGAAAATGTTCGCGAAATATTGCGAACATTTTCGTTCGTATATCAAAAACTTTTTCCCTAAATTTTGCGAAAATTGTTTTCGCGATATTTCGTTGTAGCTGTAACAATTAATTGCGCAAACACACTTGTGGAATTCTCTTCTCTGAGAGATCAGCATTGCAAGTTTTGTTAAATATCATAATTAATAATGTCTCTCATTTTTTTTCGAAAAATCGGGTTAAAACATAGAATTTATTTTTATTTCGCATTGTTTTTTTTATTTTTCAGATCCGGCCCATACTTATATCTTCTTGTGGTCCACAGCTATCCCGGAGTTTAAATATTGATGTGTGGACCATAAAACTGTCATGTGGTGGTCCATGCCTACAAACTACTGTATCCTTGCTTTTACTTCAGGGGCAGGTAGTTTTCAGTTAATTATAATTTAGATATATTATCAGAGAAATATATAGCATTACATGATGATATTATTTATAACTTAAGTATACATTTAAAGTTTCTGCGTATCTTTGAAAAATTGCAAAACTGGTTTGCACAAATGACAAATTATTTTGCAATTCTAAAACTCTCAGGAGTCAGGATGAACCAAAATGTTGAGATACAGTTTACTTGGTTTTGCCAGAAAACAAACCGGAAAGTGACAGAAATGCAAAACATGAAACTATCAGAAAATTTCATCTTTTTGCTTAGTTGTGCACATTTTTTTTGCAAAACCATTATTTTTGTTAAAGCTGAATTGGTGTATTCAAGAGCTTTCTAAAAATGTACAATTTGTCATACTTATCTTTAAAACTACATCATATCCTGGTTTTCAAGTAGGAGGGTCAGGATTAAAAGTATTAATTTTCCTGATACTTTAAACTCCCCCACCCCCANGGGGGGGGAAAGGCCAATCAGATATTTCTTACATTGCTTAAACAATTGTGACCAAATGAAAAACATATCGAATATTAAAAAGTGTCAAAACCTGTTAATCCTATCGAATGTTTCAAAACCTTTCATGCAATGATGACAATGTCCGATTCACAACGGTATCTTTTAAAGCTTTGTCTGATCAAGCATGGATGAGATATCAATTATTATAATTTTAAAAACTGAATAGTTTCAAATGTGGTTTCGCTACAAAAGCGATTTGCGCATTTCTACTGCTTAAAAACAAATGGGAATAATCCGGATTAAACACTTTAAAATCGACAATTTTTTGTAATCGGGCATTGTCATCTTTGCATGGAGGGTCACAGGATTACAGTCCCTTAAAGGCAGATGTGCTGATGGTTCAATCCACAGAGGAAACATATATATCTACCCTTTGCATCAGCTGTTCTCACTGGGCTGGTCGTCTTCAAACAAATCAAACTTCCAGGTGAAAAATCTTCTAAATCATCTTTATTCTATGGATCTGATTTTCTCACTGGACTGGTCGTCTTGAAACAAATCAAACTTCCAGGTGAAAAATCCTCTAAATCATCTTTTTTCTATGGATCAGCTGTTCTCACTGGGCGGTTGTCTGGAAACAAACCAAACTTCCAGGTGAAAAAAAATCCTCTGAATTCTATATCTACATTCCATGGATCAGTTGTTCTCACTGGGCTGGTCGTCTTCAAACGAATCAAACTTCCAGGTGAAAAAAATCCTCTAAATTATCTATATTCCATGCATCAGCTGTTCTCACAGGACTGGTCGTCTTAAAACAAATCAAACTTCCAGGTGAAAAATCCCCTAAATCATCTCTATTCTATGGATCAGCTGTTCTCACTGGACTGGTCGTCTTCAAATGAATAAAACTTTCAGGTGAAAAATCTTCTAAATCATCTTTATTCTGTAGATCAGCTGTTCTCACTGGACTGTTCGCCTTAAAACAAATCAAACTTCCAGGTGAAAAATCCTCTAACTGATCTTTATTCTATGGATCAGCTGTTCTCACTGGGCTGGTCGTTTTCAAACAAATCAAACTTTCAGGTGAAAAAATCCTCTATATTATCTATATTCCATGCATCAACTGTTATTACTGGGCTGGTCGTCTTCAGACGAATAAAACTTCCAAGTGAAAAACTCTCTAAATCATTTTTATTCTATGGATTTATGTTTTTCTAGCTGGATTACATATAAGAAAGGTATGAGGAGTAATCTGTATCTAGTTCTAGTGGGATATACTGATTATATATTTCTAGCTTGAGTACATATAAGAAAGGTATGAGGAGTAATCTGTATCTAGTTCTAGTTGGATATACTGATTATATATTTCTAGCTGGAGTACATATATCGGAGGTATGAGGAGTAATCTGTATCTAGTTCTAGTTGGATATACTGATTATATATTTCTAGCTGGAGTACATATATGGGAGGTATGAGGAGTAATCTGTATCTAGTTCTAGTTGGATATACTGATTATATATCCATCAACGTAAAGATATCCTCTAAAAACATTATCAGGGATAAAACAAAACAAATTAATTAACCATTAATTAATTAAGAAAAAGCTTTTAATTAAGAATAGCAGAAACCAGAGTTTTTTTTTCTGTAATACAATTTCTTTAAACTTAGTTTAGCTATAATTTCAATTTCAATTCAATATGTTTAAATTTTCATTCTTTTTCAAAAATTATACTTTTTTTTCAGAAACATAATTCATTATTTTGTTATTACATTAACAATTTTATTTGTTTTGATCTACAGGGCGACACCGGAGCTCTACAGAGAAAATATTTTTTAATAATTTTTTGGCACAATAAATAAGATTAATATTTGAAGAATTAGAAATAAAATATAGAATAAAATAACGTATGTTATTAATGGTTAAAAAAATCATGGAAGAGAATTTACTGTTGGGGATAAAAAGCATTGTGTCACTCCTCTAGCTTCAGAATAAAATTAGCAATAAGCAAAATCCTAATATTAGTTCAGATTGTCAATTGTCCAATTGATATAGCATCTCCGATATTGAATGAATTAAATGTCGTCCTCTATCTCACAACATCTTCCTACGAGGAATATAGTATATACGGGAGTGTGCACAACTAAAAGCAAGATCTCGATAGAAGTATACATAAAAAAAAACTAATTAAAATTTATTACTTTAGATCGTTTTCCATTGCAAAATAATGAAAAACTCATAGAATTAAGAATATAACAATTTACAATGCAAAGATCACATAATTCTTTTGTTTATTAAGTATTAACAACAAAATTTCTTTCAATTTTAACATCTTTTTTTCGAATTTATTCGTTTACATTTTATTTAGTCCAATGTTGTAGCAAATTAAATTAGACTCTGCATTTAAAAAGACTTTTATTGTCTAATAATTTTCATTACATGTAGAGATTGAGTTTTTGCCACAAACTCTGATTTTATAGTTTACTAGTTTGGGAACCCTGGGCTGCCCAGGGTACTCATAGTGACTCCCGCTGTTTCCCCGCACTTTAACGATTTTACTGGGAAACTAAATGTTCATTTTAGAACCATTTCCGTAGCTCTCCCGAGTTTGAGACAAATCAGTCCAGGGGTTTTTGAGCTATGATCAGAAAACAAACAGACAGACCGACCCCCAAACAGAGATTACAACTTTATATATATATATATATATATATATATATATATATATTTGTTAATTTTTGTTAATTTATTAATATATTTGTTAAAATAAGTCTAGAACATGTTCTATTGTTTTTTTTAAATTGGTTATTGCTGGACACTGTTTAATGTTGGACATTCTTCATATAAATATATAGATATATCTTTGCAACCTGATGGCGTAGACATTATATTTTTTAAACTATGAGTTATGTAATAATCTAAGCTTGATATATCAAAGGTTTATACCATCAGGTTGCAAAGAAGGAGACTAGAATATCAGATTTTGTGACAAAGACTCAATTCCTTTAAATAAAATTTTACATATGTTCAAAAAAGGTAATGGTTTATATAACAGACGGGGACTAAAGAATTAATGTAATTGCAGTAGTTTAACCCTAAGCCTGACGTCTGGTTTACTAATTGGCTCCTTTGGGGGGGGGGGTCAAATTGACCCCCCCCCTTTATTTTCTTATTGTGATACAAATCTTTAACATTTGATACCATTTTAAAAAGCCCTTGGGCTCTACTTCAATAATCCGCAAAAAAAATGGCAAACTTGCAAAAATCCAAATGTTTATTGCGAAATCTAATTATAAAGCAAAAATGTAAAAAAATGCGCAAATTGCAAACAAATTATACATTTTTGAAAATCCCTTTGGCCAAGCGTGTTCAAATGTGCAAAACAAATTGACCCCCCCCCCCAGGCCAAAGCCTTTACAATCGGATTTGTTTACCGAATTTCTAACAAAACATTTTTTTAATCTAAAGATTTAACAATTAAAGTATTGATAAATTAGATTCTAGTACAATAGATGGCAGCTTAGAATTTGAACACTCAGTACAGCTGTTTTCTTACGTCACAAGTGTCAACTTAGTTTCTGTGTCCGACTAAATTATTAATAATGGTGATATTTAAGTGAAATAAGTGCAATTTTGAGTTCTTTATGTTCTGTTTTGACACTTTTTTACTTAATCTTGGAAAGCATGTCAACTAATGGTAGAATATTTGACAATTGTAACATTGTGTATAATTGGTCGATTTCTCTGTTGCCACCTGTATTACATCATAATCTATTTGGTATTAATAAATGAGCAAACCTGGCTCAGGCATACATTGTTCAAAGTAATAAATAAAAAAAAACTCTCAAAAAACTGAGAAATAAAACTTTTAATAAAATTCCAATTGCGCGAAACGCCCATTTTTCAAGCAAGAGTACACCGTTGCATTTCTTCTGCATTATATTCTTCTATGTTCGTTAGTCTAACTTTTTCTAGATTTAACCACAGGTCAGGCCGGTACGAGGATAGACCGGGCCGGTACGAATTTTGTAGAGCAATCCCTTTTAAACATGTAAATTTAGTCAATTATGAAGAGGAATTGATCCCAGAACAGTACAAGGATAGACCGGGCCGGTACGAAATTTGCAGAGCTGACCTTCCTATATTTGCGTACATCCCTTTTTCCTTCTAGTTTTTGTATCTTTTAAATGTTCCTACAAGAGCAGCGGGATCCTCAACCTGAAAAAAAAACAATAGTTTGACAGCTTGATTTATATAGTAAAGCTCTTCAATCATGTCTATGTATATATATTTATAGGTCAGCTATAGCTGGCCAAACGGCTGAACTAAATTGGATGAATATTTTTAGGGAACTCGAGTCTCTGGGTACCTAGACTTGGGGTATCATGGGCGAAAAAATAGTTGACATTTTGTTTCCAAAATTCGATTTTTTCTAATTTCCACGGTTAAAAGCCGGGAACTTTAGCCAGTTTTTACTAATATTCTTTTTAAATTTCCGAAAGGCTTGCATTCTTTACAGATGAGCTATTAACATGAGACATTACATATTACCACTTCCTGCGAAAGCTCTAGACAGTTATAGAACTCATGCATCGATTTTCAAGAACGGGTCGACTTTCAATTTCTTCTGTAGCTTTAGGTTTTAGGTCACAGAAAACTAATATTAGTATAACCAGAACTATAATATAGAAATATTTTGGCAAAGGAATTGAGTCTTTGCCACAAAATAAATTTTTTTAATCCCTATATCTTTTGCAATGCAAAATTTATTATTTTGATCTCACTGAATTCATAGTTTGAAATATCTAAGGTTTACCAAGGTTTGGCAAAGATATAAAGATTTGAAAAGCAGAGTTTGTGTCAAAGACTCCATTCCTTGTTTGTTTAAAACTCAAAAAAAGCTCAAGAGCACGGATATAAATTTTGACCCATGAGAATTTAAAACATGTCACTTTAAAACAAATTTTTACTTTTTTATTTTGATGTGGAATTACGGAAATATTACTTAAATATAAAAAAATGTTGCTAAATAGTTTAACCAGCTAGTCACTTGTGCTAGCTCTGGAAATGGTTCAAAAAAACTACCTAGTTCAACTACTTCTCTTATTCATTAATTCTGGTTCATGCTTGGTAAAAATGAAAAAATGAAATTATTTTTACTTCCAAAAAATATTTAAGTGGCTAAAGAAACGAATAAGAATTATTATAAAGAAGAAATATATTAAAAATTGATGAACAATGATGTGAATAGAATTAAGCCAATAAAAAATGTGTTCGAGGAAGAACATGAAAAAGTGCGTGGAGGGGGGGGNTTCCACTGACAATTTTTCCAAGGACTTGATAAAATTCGGACTTTTTTCCAAAGTTTTTATTTCCAGCTGTTTTTTTTTCCAGAAACTTTTTTTCCCGGGACTTTCCTACATAGATTCAATTTGATCCCCCCTCTAAATCCCATTTTTGATGTATAAATATGACAAATGATACATCGTTGTTTACACAATTTTTTACACTACAATATCTCATTGTTGAAAAATATTAAAATTAACTGTCCACTCAATACCGTACAAATAGATGTACTTAGGATTAAACCCACTGTACTCTATGATACTAACTCAGTCATAAGGAAACATTTTTCGACAAATTTAACTGTACAGTATAAACCTAGCCAGGCAAAATTAGGAGAGTTATGCCCGCCCCCTGGATATGGTTAAATGTTCAATAAAGTGGTGGTCGTTTATATCAATATGATGAAAACGACTTTTTAAGTTTGATTTAACACAAGCTTTCTTCTAATTACAAGTTTAGAAGTTAACAATTAGAAGCTGTTAATTGACAGCTTCTCTTTGTTGACATGTTTATGTTCATCGTTCTGTTTGAAAGCTTGGTAAAAATTAAAAAAATAAATCGAAAGTCGTCTCTTCATTGTATTGATATTTACGATTAATTCCAACGAAATAATCAAAAATGTTTTTTTAGAATATACCTAGTTAAGTAAAATACTGGTGATATACAGAATAATTTCCTTTTAATGGAATTTTCTTTGTTCATTATTAATTTCATCAAAACTGGTAAAATAGTTAGTTTTTAGAAGAGAAGTGGGGCCTGCTTTATACTTATTTTGACAATCCACTCTAAATTAAGAAGTCGCCTAATCGGGTGAAAAGTTTATATATAAAGAAAACAACTTTTGAAAGGTTTTTATGAAGTGTTAGGAAAATTAAATGATAAAAATATTATAATTTTAGTTTATAAGCTCATTGTAATGATTTCTGATTAAAATGATACATCTGAGTATAAGAACGTTTTAGATTAAATCAAAATCTATAAATTATCTGTTTTTTAGTTCAAAAATATATTTTTAACAATTATACAAATGTTACTTTGAATTTCAAACGAATTTGGCTTTTCCTTTTTTCGGTGACAGTTTTTCCTCCCTAAATAATTTTCGATTACATTTAAAAAGTTCGAATAAAATCTTCCAGTCTGTTAGCTTATCATTAGGGGTTTCAATTGGAATTCCATGTACGGAATTACGCGCAATTGTTCTTGAATTGCGCGGAATTACGCGGAATAGCGCGGAATTGCACGGAGCATACAGGACTCGCTTTTGCGTATTAGTTAAATCCTCATGTGTTGGAAACCCTCCTTGCACATTAGATTATACGACTGATCTGGAACTCTTCGTTAAATAATATTTAAACTGTGGACCTTAATTTTCAAAAAAAATCTTTTACGAGTCCTCTTCTTTTTCATACAAAGTTATCCTTCATTTAGGGTATATCCGATATACAACAGTACCAACAGAACCTATATTTAGGGTATATCCGATATACAACAGTACCAACAGAACCTATATTTAGGGTATATCCGATATACAACAGTAACAACAGAACCTATATCTAAAGATTTGGAAGTGAGCGTTATTTTACTGGATTGAAAAGAAAAAACACCAAATAACAATAAACAATTTTCATAAACAAAATCATGGATATCTATTTCAAGGTTAATCCGACAAAGCATTGTAAATCAGAGGCGGCACTTGAACATACGTTCACAGAGCCTTTGACCTCACCTGTACAGTAATCAGTCCCTTTAACCTCACCTGTACGGTAATCAGTCCCTTTAACCTCACCTGACAGTAATCAGTCCCTTTAACCTCACCTGTACAGTAATCAGTCCCTTTAACCTCACCTGAACAGTAATAAGTCCCTTTAACCTCACCAGTACAGTAATCAGTCCCTTTAACCCCACCTGTACGGTAATCAGTCCCTTTAACCTCACCTGTGCGGTAATCAGTCCCTTTAACTTCACCTGTACGGTAATCAGTCCCTTTAACATCACTGACAGTAATCAGTCTCTTTAACCTCACCTGTACAGTAATCAGTCCCTTTAACCCCACCTGTACAGTAATCAGTCCCTTTAACCTCACCTGTAAAGTAATTAGTCCCTTTAACCCCACCTGTACAGTAATCAGTCCCTTTAACCTCACATGTACATCAATCAGTTCCTTTAACCTCACCTGTACATTAATCAGTCCCATTAACCTCACCTGTACAGTAATCAGTCCCTTTAACCTCACCTGTACAGTAATCAGACCGAATGCCTTGTTGTACTTAGCCTCAAGGTTGTCCCAGGCCTTCTCCAACCCAACCATCATCATGAACAGGAATCCAACCATGAACCCGACACCTGAACATAACCATAATTATGAACAGGAATCCAACCATGAACCCGACACCTGAACATAAACATCATTTTGAATAGGAATCCATTCATGAACACGACACTTGAACATAACCATCATCATGAACAGGAATCTAACCATGAACGCAACACCTGAATATAACCATCATCATGAACCGGAATCCAACCATGAACCTGACACCGGAATATAATCATCATCATGAACAGGAATCCGAAAATGAACCCGACACCTGAATATAATCATCATCATGAACAGGAATCCGAAAATGAACCCGACACCTGAATATGATCATCATCATGAATACAGCCCCAGCAGTTTTTTTTTTTTCTGACGGGCGTGTTTATCCGTTATGCTATAGATAGAACCCAAGCCATGTGTAGCTACAGCGTGGCATCGACCTAGGCCAACTGCTTTTCTACAATATGGAGGGGACTGGCCATGTTAAAACTCAAGATAAAGGCATTATACTGACTATAGAATCTAACCGAATGGACGCCAGAAACTATATCAGACATAGCAGGCGGAGATACCCATTTATATCAAACCGTGGAACTTAGTATCGCCTAATCTAATATGTTTTTGTGTAAACTAGCTGAAGACCCGGCGTTGCCCGTGGACATACTATTTAAAAGTAAAAAAAAATAATTTTTAAAATTTAAGAAAAAAAATCGTTTTATGTCACCCCCAGGCTGTCCAAAAAAAATGTCAGCCCATTTGGTCCAGCCGTTTGGCCGGCCAGAGGGAACATATATATGAATGTCCTGTTTAATCTATTATATAGTTTATAATGTTTCGTGTATTTCGTGTCATTTATTCAGAACGGTTTAGTGCTCATTTCATAAAAAAAATTCAATAGGAATTAGAATTTTTTTTCAAAAATTAAATTTTTTATTTCTTTTTAAATTCATTTTTTTTATTTCACGGGCAACGTCTGGTACTTTAGCTAGTTTTGTTATAAAACCTATATAATTAAATACTATTGTATTGAGACCAAAAAGTATTGCAAACTGCATGAAAAAGTTGAAGTTACAAACTTGGTTTATGTGGCTGTTTAATTACAACCAAAAGGAAGCTGCGACAAAAGATCAAAATTAAAACTTTTCAAAATTTTGCTAAATAAAGCAAGTTATGTCTGTCCCCTCATGACCTTTCATGATTAAATTTTTCAAATATTTTGTTTTTAAACATTTTTTTATTTTTATGCTTGAATGAGTGAGTATAGAACTTGATTTGTCCCCCCCCCCACAGTACTTCAAGGGCACCGGAAACAGGAAACAATAGTTTCATCTATTTTTTTTAATGAAGAAACTGGATAGGTAAAGTGGTTGAACTGAGACTGCAAAATTATAAAGAAAAGTTTAGAATTCATTACATTGAAGGTTAAATGGTTAAATTAAGTCTTCCATCCCTTGAGTATGATTTGCCAAAGAAAGAATCAAGTAAACAGTTGTAGAGAACCATGTATATAAAGCAACAGACAGTACAAAGTTCGTACAGTCGTCTCTGAAGTCTCATCCTTGTTAGCTTACTCTGTATATTCTTGAAGAAAAAAAATATTTACAATTTGGTGTTCCTGCAGTATTTATAGCTTGAATTGTGTCAAGAGAACTCAATGTAAACATTGTACATAACATACTTAACATAATTTAAAAGCAAAGGTGTAACTGGAGGGGGGGGGCATGTAGTTTCTGCAACTGGGCATCGCCCCCCCCCCTCCCCCTTCACATAGAGATAAAAAGGAAATTTTTTGATTCAAAAAAATTTGCAAATGATATAATTTTATTTTCGGAAAGATTCAAAATTTTGGGATTTCATTTAAGACATAGAATTAAATTGAAATTTAAAAAAAAAACTATAGCAAATCTTCTCTTTAAAATGCAAATTTAATTTTTGGTCTAGGCAAAAAAAATCAATTACTATTTGACCCATAAAATAAAATTATAACTGTAAAATTTCTGTAAATATACTTTTTCAAAAAGTACTTTAATATGAATAAATAAACTTGTGAAAATATGTTATCATTCTGAGTTATTGAGACTTCTACAAACTTTCATTTTAGAAATTTGGTTTTCGTGAAAGTAAAATTTAGAAATCTGATTTCAGAAAATAATTTGAAACCTGAATTTACAACATATTGGTGGTTTTAATTTAAAAATTCAATTTTCAGGGAAAATTTCAACTTTTATTTTTGATAATGGCGGTAGTGGGATATGACAAGGTAGTGGGATATGACAAGGGACTGTAGTGGGATATGACAAGGGACTGTAGAGGGATATGACAAGGGACTGTAAGCGTAATTTCAAGTAAAGTTATTTGTTTATTTCAGCCGTGCATTTGTGGTTTTTGCAAAAGTAATTTGCGCATTTCTTGCTTATAAGAAAAAATGGAGAAATTCACAGAAATAAACACTTTTCGACGATATCTTCAACATTTTTGATTCGATTAAGATTTAAATTGAGTATCTTTGCATAGAGGCTCTCTAAAAATTACGTTTATAGTCCCTTTAAATTTGAAAAATGGTACCTATGACTATTGCAAGCTGCTGAAGGGCCCTGGTACTCTGTTCAATGTACGTTAGCTGAGGCATTATAACTGGTTTAGCAGTGGTAGCTCCAGGGACCTTTCCTCCATCCCCTCCCATCATGGCATCCATATCCATATCCATTGCATCATCACCAAAATCATCTTGTCCTGTCACTGTAACCATCATGCAAACTATGCCACATATTACTCCGCATGACAGCTGACAAATCAGCTGTTCTATACTTCCACGTGGAGACGCCATTTTGTTTTTGTTCACGTTATCTTCTTCTTTTTCCTGCTCATTTATCATAGCATTTTAGAACTGAAAAAAATAATTAAGTTTGATTTATGTTATTATGAGTTGGCCTATCACAACAACAAAACTCAACAATTTTTGTTTTTTTTTCATTCTGATTTAACCCAGACTTTTTGGCCACGTCTCTCAGAGGCACACTGTATGAATATTTTTTTTCTTAAACAAAATAAATCTTTGCTTAGACCCACGTTCGGTTTTTTTTGATTTAGCAACCTTTTTCAAGTCATATTCTATGGAAAACCAAAAGAAATAGTCTTTTTAGGACAATTTTGTACACATGATTCTTTTAAGTAAATTACTTTAATTATAGTTTTCTATAAAATTTTTAATTAATAATAATTACGTATTTTGTATAATAACTATGAACATTAAACAACAGAGTTATAGGAAGGTACCCCCCCCCCCCCAAAAAAAATATACTTTTGCTGCAGAAGCACCTCGAGGAGAAAGACAGAATTAATTCTCATCAATTATAAAAATTGAAAATTAAATTGCAAAACATTCTTTATGTAATTTTCAGTTAGAAAAATGAGAATATTTAATTGTATTTGACTGTGGGAAAGATGGCATTTCATGTTTATCTTTTATATCATAGAAGTCAAGAGAAGCTGTCAATTAAAAAAAGCTTCTCTTTAATTATTTATAAACTTGTACACTTGTTACACGAAAAACGCTTGTTATCACTCGAAATAAAATAAAATCTTGAATAATAATTTTGTTGTATTGACATATTCGTCAACCATCTACCCTGGAGTTTTTTTTATCCTCTCTAGGGGTTAAAAAGATAAAGAGGGGTATTTTTATTAACAGATATCTCTCTGACTTTTGAATTTATTATTGTTTATTTGGAATATAACCGAGTTTTGAATAAATGGTTCATCATGCAATACATTACCAACATAACATTTAAATTTTTTTATTTTACTAAAAAAAAATAAAAAAAAATTGGCATGCACAATTCACAACATTACCCTTTCACCCCTTCTGAGGAGGATAACGTTGGTTTTTTTCTTAATAGTTGTTAAACTCTTCCAAGCAAAAGTATGAAAGAAACTTTTGCAGAAAAGTTAAAATTTGAAATTGTTTTAGCTAGGATAGCAAGGATTTAGCTAGGATAGCAAGGATTTCTCGTTTATTGTTTATTAGTCGATCAGAGGTTTATAAGACTCTGCTTTAAAATTGGATATTTTGGGATCACTAGAACTCACGTTCACGGCCAGTCGTAGAACATTTGAATTTCCGAGCCGATTCAACCTTTCCGGTCCCAGCTTGTACTGTACCTAGCTCTATGGACAGGACTAGCCGGTAAAATAAGGTTGACGCGGTCAGACTTTATGCTTCAAATAGGTTCAATTTACTTTTAATAAAGGGGCAGAGGTGCGTGCGTTAACAGTGGCTCTATAAGATGCCATTGACGCGTTTATTCTTTTATTTTCGTTATCAAAATTTCTTTAATTACATTTTGCAGATCGAATAAAAATATCCAGATTTTGTCAAGACATGGTTTGAGGCTTGAATAGAAGATTTTATGAATTTCATCAACTCCACTAGCCTTTGAAATATAATTCAACTTCTTGAAAGGTTAAGTCTTTGGACAAAGACAAAAATATAAAAAAAACCCAGAAACTTAGATCTTTCAGAGGTGTTCAGTGACGCGGCTCAAATATGGTTGGTTACACTTAAAATTATTTTCAATGTTTCAAGATTTTAACCGGCGCTCAATTGAAACCAGTTTATGGCGGATTTGAGACGCGGGTCAAATTCATTAAATTCGGACTCAGAATTGTTAATAATTTATCGCCGTTAGCGCGAGCAGAATAGGATTAATATATTAGTCTTTTGAATGAATACACGGAAGTTTTGATCAGAATTATTACTTTTTAAAAGAATTGACACAATAAATAATATTTGACAGAATTGACATAGTAAATAATATTTGAAAGAAAGTTCAACCATTACTAGCAAAATTGTAATGCAAGGAAAGTTAATTGCAGTTGCGTATACTCGTACCTATTGAAACCAGTTCTCTCTGGGCGGAATTTGTAAACAAGAATAGATGCATCAGTGTTCGTTTAGTATCCGAGGAGGTTAAAAGCATTTAATTTTGATAATTTTGATAATTGACGTAATAGTTTCCTATGACCAGAATATTTCATTGATTATTTAAGTTAAAGATGGATCCCATGTAAGGCTGTGACATTCGTCTTGTGTTTACATTACCGCCCAGAGACAGTACACTTCAGTACAAAAGATGCGTGCACCTCTGAAATAACTTTCTTTGCATTACAACCTTCAGTTGGCCATTTGAAAAGGTTCTTTGTTTTGGTGCATACTCCCTAAGCTATGTTTTGGTGCATACTCCCTAAGCTATGTTTTAGTGCATACTCCCTAAGCTATGTTTTGGTGCATAATCCCTAAGCTATTTTTTGATGCATACTCCCTAAGCTGTGTTTTGGAGCATACTCCGACCCTAAGCTATGTTTTGGTGCATACTCCCTAAGCTATGTTTTGGTGCATACTCCCTAAGCTATTTTTGGTGCATACTCCCTAAGCTATGTTTTGGTGCATACTCCCTTAGCCATTTTTTGGTGCATACTCCCTTAGCAATGTTTTGTGCACAATTAATCTTGACTATATTGTTTAAATGTATCCCTGCAAGCTGTCAGCTCTTCTTTCAGTACACTAAATCCTTGCTTAGTAGAGAAAGCAAGTTTCTATATTTTCTATTCCTGAATCCTGGCTAGGGATGGGAAAATATTCCTTAATCCTGGCTAGGGATGGAATAATATTCCTAAATCCTGGCTAGGGATGGGCAAATATTCCTAAATCCTGATTAGGAATGGGAAAATATTCCTGAATTCTGACTAGGGATGGGAAAACATTCCTGAATCCTGGCTAGGGATGGGAAAATATTCCTGAATCCTGGCTAGGGATGGGAAAATATTCCTGAATCTTGGCTAGGCATGGGAAAATATTCCTGAATCCTGGTTAGGCATGGGAAAATATTCCTGAATCCTGCCTAGGGATGGGAGAATATTCCTGAATCCTGGGAGATATTCCTGAATCCTGGCTAGGAATGGGAAAATATTCCTGAATCCTGACTAGGGATGGGAAAATATTCCTGAATCTTGCAAAGCTAGGGGGGAAATATTCCTGAATCTTGGCTAGGGATGAGAAAATAATCCTGAATCTTGGCTAGGGATGGGAAAATATTCCTGAATCCTGGCTAGGGATGGGAAAATATTCCTGAATTCTGGCTAGGGATGGGAAATATTCCTGAATACTGGCTTGGGATGGGAAAATATTCCTGAATCCTAGCTAGGGACGGGAAAATATTCCTGAATCCTGGCTAAGGATGGGAAAATATTCCTGAATCCTGGCTAGGGATGGGAAAATATTCCTGAATCCTGGCTAGGGATGGAATAATATTCCTGAATCCTGGCTAGAGATGGGAAAACATTCCTGAATCCTAGCTAGGGACGGGAAAATATTCCTGAATTCTGGCTAGGGATGGGAAAATATTCCTGAATCCTGACTAGGGATGGGAAAATATTCCTGAATTCTGGTTAGGGATGAGAAAATATTCCTGAATCCTGACTAGGGATGGGAAAATATTCCTGAATCCTGGCTAGGGATGGGAAAATATTCCTGAATCCTGCCTAGGGATGGCAAAATATTCCTGAATTCTGGTTAGGGATGATATGAGAAAATATTCCTGAATCCTGACTAGGGATGAGAAAATATTCCTGAATCCTGGCTAGGGATGACAAGACTTCCGTTGTCAAACGAATTTTTAACGGAATATGCCACCAACTGGCAGTTTTTAAAGATTTACGGAAAATTCCAACATCAAACAAAACTTTTTGAAGATACATATTAATAATAACCTGTTATTAAACAGAAAGAACAATCAATTTGCTTTCAAAAAAAGATTAAAAAAGTGATTTTTTATTAAAGATTAAAACATTTAGTTAATAATAAAAGGCTTATTAAAATCTAAAATTTAATGGAAAACTCCATTAAAACGAAATATCATAAAGTTAATGAATAGAATTAAAAGGGACTGTACGCTTAATTTCAAGTGATGCTTCATGAAAAGATGACAATGCCCGATTCACAATGATATCCTTCAAATCGTTGTCTGATCAAGTTTGAATTTTCAATTTCGGTTTCTCGATTGCAGTTAAAAATATAATAATTTTTAGAATTAACCAATTTTAAACATAGGAAAACGACATTGTTGATAAAAAAGGTTTCAAGGGTAGAGTTGTGAATAGAAAATTAAGCATTCTTTGCTTGGAAGATCACCTGAAATAAACTCTAACTATCCCTTTAATCGGTTGACCGGCCGTTTAATCTATGAACGAATTAAAATAAGTACAAACGTTGTTAAGCTAAGCCCTGAACCCTCTTATTCTGGTTTTTTTTATATTTTTTCATTCTCAATCTTAATTTCTAATTGGAACGAACAGAAGTGTTTAACCTATTGACATTTAAACCTATTAAAGCTGCAATGGGGGGAGGGGGAGGGGGAGGGGAGAGGGCTAACTCTCAAATTAGAAAAACAAAAGAATGCAGATTCAAAATTTTTACCCACGGCCAAAGTGTGAGTGTAATTTATTGATAAAGCTTTAATGGATACGATTTTAACATTTATTTTCCACATAAGTTTATTGAATGTTTTCAACAAAAAATCTAGTTTCTTTTTAACTTAAAAAAGATGTCTCGATTGCCGAAATAGTTTTTAATTGAGAGTCAAAAAAAATGTCAACATTTACTAATTCTTCAATTTAATGCCTTTAACAAGGAGTATAAGAAGACATGCCCTCAAAATGAAATGTAAGAATAAGCTGCTATCAACATATTTTTGTTTAATCTACAAAAAAAAATATTTATTAAAAAGATATTTCAGGATTAAGTACAAAGTGTAGATTTATTTATATTTAAGAAGAATATTAGGTTTTTATATTAAGTCCCTTTTGACCTTAAAAAAATAAAAAAGTGTAAACTTCTTTCAAATTTACAAATATTATACGCAGTATTACAATTCCTATGTAGTTTAAATATTATCATTTTTATTTTTATTTTTTAATATACGATCCCTAAGATATCGATCGAT